CTAAAAGGTTGCGTACTACTTTTTTTTTATAGGTTTCTAATTTATATTTAATATACGTAATATATATTTTATAGATAACTAATATTTTGCAAATGCAAACCACGATGTACTATCTTTAGTTTAAAAGCAGTATAACACCAATCGTGGTCCGCATTTGCAAAATATTAATGCGTTTTGAAATCTATAAAAAAGAAAGTGTCGCAACCTTTCAGTGAGCGAGTGTACATACATGTTGTCATTCGCGCTTCGCGCGCGAGCGGTTAAGGGCGCGCACCACCACCAACCTCTCCGCGACGACCGCGACACTCGCGGGGTGCATGCTGCTCCAGTGACAGTTGTCTCTCTTTTTGTCGATTTCTACCAAGGTAGATTAACTTTGATCCAGGTTTGACTTACTTTGTATCTTTTTCTACTCTTAAGAATTAGAACAAGATGAAAAGTAAAATAAAACCGTGATTAAAGTTAATCTACTTGGTAGAAATGAGCATTTCCGAGTTCCGATTGAAACGACGATTTCTAGATGGCGTACAAGTTTGTTTATAGTTACTCGTAAAGCGATCTAAATGCCGTCGGAGTCGGGACGAACTTTCTCGGCGGTATTAAAGTCGAGGAGAGAATATCACCCTGGCCTCAAATATGGATAAGCTTTCGAAGCCGCAGATAATCTGCCACGTCGAGAAATCGGTGGATTATTCGCTGTTCGACGCAAAATGGATACCGTGCAGCGCGAAGTTCGTGGTTATGGGTGCTCGACCTCGCGGCACCGGTATCATACAGATTTACGAGGTGTCCGGTGGCGAGTTGAAGCTCGTCAAGGATATAGAGAGGTCCAGTCAGATGAAGTGTGGAACATTCAAGGCTTCCAGTCTTCGCGATCGATACTTGGCTACTGGTGATTTTAAGGTCTCTCTTATTTTAACGTACATTATACATTTAACATACTTGGCTACTAATGAGATTTTAAGGTCTCTCTTATTTTAACGTACATTATACATTTAACATACTTGGCTATTGACGAGGTTTTAAGGTCTCTTTTATTTTAACATACATTATACATTTAACATACTTGGCTACTAATGAGGTTTTAAGGTCTCTCTTATTTTAACATACATTATACATTTAACATACTTGGCTACTAATGAGGTTTTAAGGTCTCTCTTATTTTAACATCTCACGTGTAAGATCCTTGTTACGCTCGGTATTCACATTCATCAAAATGTTTTATGCGATGTCCAATTTTGATTCATGAATTATGAAGGGGAAAAATTTTTACAGGGCAAATTAAATATCTACAATCTGGAGGATCCTTTGATACCAGTTTACTCGGCTAATGCCCACACGCAGATTATAAATGCCATTGACGGAGTGGCGGGTGCTAGTGTGGGATGCGGAGCGCCGGAACTGGTGACTGGATCCAGAGACGGAAGTGTAAAAGTATGGGATCCCAGGCAAAAGAGTCGACCGGTCGCTGTCATGGAGCCCAAGGAGGGGGAGAGCCGTCGGGACTGTTGGTCGGTTGGATTCGGCAATTCTTACAATTCCGAGGAGAGAGTGGTAGCAGCGGGCTATGATAATGGAGATGTTAAAATGTTCGACCTGAGAGCGATGTCACTGAGATGGGAGAGCAATTTGAAAAACGGAGTTTGCGGTCTTGAATTCGACAGAAAGGACATCCCCATGAATAAGCTGGTTGCCACTACGCTGGAGTCCAAATTCTATCTCTTTGACTTAAAGACCCAGCATCCCAAGAAAGGTTTTGCTTACCTTGTCGAAAAGGTATTGCTTTAATGAAAATTGACATGTATTATAATCTTTCTGCGCAAATAAGTATTTATAATATGTCGAATGCATGTATGATTTCAGGCACACAAGTCAACGATATGGCTGGGTAAGCATTTGCCGCAGAATCGTGAATTGTTCGCCACATGCGGCGGTGAAGGATCAATCTGTCTTTGGAAATAGTAAATACATATATATATATAAAATACACACGCGCGCGTGTTCATGTTTTTCTATAACACAGTTACACGTTACATCTAGTAAAGGTGCAAATTCATGAGACGCTCGTTTTAGCGTTAAAGCCACGGCACACAGAAAAGCTTAATCAAAACTCAGTAAGACGTAAAGAAATCAACATGTTGAATTTTTGGTAATCACGTGTGACTTCGACTTTGACGTTAGCGTCAAAAAAAGAAGCTGGATTTTCTCAGCTTTAGCGTTAAAGGCTGTTGTTATTTTGTTCGGAACATTTTAGATATACGAATTATAGGATTGACGTTAAACTTGATATTGCCGCTTTTCGTGCAAGCCAACTATGATCACGTAATTTTGACGCCAAAAATGAGCGTCGAGCGTCAGCATGAAAAGGCACCTTAAGAATTCTTGAAAATCGATTGTTTTTTTTTTCAGCGATTATCCAGAGAAGAGGAAAACTACGGACGCCGACGGAATCGAGCGAGGAGTTACGGGCAATGTCAGTTTGCTGCAGAACTGTACGCTCTCGACGCAGCCTATCAGCTCTTTGGATTGGAGCCCGGACAAGCAAGGACTCGCCGTTTGCACGTCGTTTGATCAATGCTTACGCGTTATCATCACTACGAAACTGAATACGTATTGATTAAACATAAAGTAACATGTAAATAAGCTTGTACGTGTACAAGCGGAAACAAAGCGGTTCACACAGCCTTTTCACTTTATATATATATATATTATATATATATATACATATACGCTTAAGATAGCCATTAATGAAAGAAGTTTTTGTTTTATACGCAAAGATTTTATTAAACGATAGAACTAAGAGATAAGGAAAAGGCATTTGTTATTTAACATATTTGCCAAAATGGCACTCGATGTTACGGAAATTGAATCGAGACATCGATTTCTCACTCGCGAACGCAAGATGCATTATGCAACAGCGGGCAGACGAGAGCGAATTATATGTCATTGGGCCAATCTATTTAGGATCGGACCCTTATTAAGCACCGGCCATCTTGCGCACGGTCGTGAATGTTACGCAATATCGCACGCGACGTCCGCCATTTGAGATGCGTTCTCGGCCCACGCGTTGTCGCTCGCACACCTCCATTGCATCGCGCGCGCGAGGGCACAGCATTACAAACGCGCGCTAACACAAGGTCAGGAATACCTCGACTTTAATTACGTGAATTAGACGTCGGCCAAGTCGCATCTCTCGCCCGCTTGTCGCGATGTACGTTGATGTTTGTCAAGATCACCCCCCCCGCCCATTTCATTTAATCCTTTTACATCCAATTAATATATCTCGTTTCATTTCGACCGCACAGATTAGGAGTGCAAAAAAAATTTAATTAAAATAATTGTGCACAATACACGCTCCAATATCGTGGCATATCTACTCCTTTTTTTTTCATAAAATTGGTTTTCTGAAGAAACATTTATATTCTTTTTTTTTTATTGCAACGTACTCTCATCAGTACCACATATTTTCAAGGGGATTGATTTTACATCTTGTATATATTATGCAACAAATTTTTTATTTGCTCAACACAAAATAAAATCGATCGAAAATTGAAAGACTATATCAAAGAAAAATCGCTATCCCGACAGTGTACCGAGTGTCGGTTGGCTAATTACAAGGCGCGCGTGTGGAATATATGTGTATTTACAGGAGCATATATACGAACACGTGGACAAACAGAAAAGTGTATGCAATACCTGGTTCCTATTTTTGTTTCTTAATGGCGCACTTGGTGATGCACTTTGATGGCGATTTGGTCAACGTCCAAGATTTGCATTGCTTCTCCTATGTAACCCCAACTACATGATCAACGCGATTAAATTTTAAATGAAAAGATCAGTCTTGTTTCTCATTAAAAAATACATTATCGACAAGTACTCTTATTAGAAATTTTCATTAATTGTATTTTATTTTTCAAACTTCTGATTCGACAAAAATATTAATTTTTAATGATTTATATAATACAACCTTTCCACTTAAGAATGATTTCATTTACCCGATTGTTATTCTATTCAAATTGTTATACTACTCCACCACATTTAACGATCTACGATCGATGATGAGCTGTAAATAATGAGGAGTTGGCTCGATGGGAGTTGATAAATAAAAAAGGAATTCAGCATAAAAAATAATTTTATTTCCCTTAATTTCCTAGTGGTAATCATGGCAGTAGTAAGAGATTATTTGATAACTTTGAACGTAAAAAATCTTTATGCATGAATCTCCCGAATAAATATTTTTAAGGTAAAAAAAATTTCATGTACAGTAAAATCCATATTATTATAAAAAAAAGTGAATCAACATTTGATTAAAGTGTTAATATATATATTAAAACATGAAAAGAGTTTCTTCATTTTGATAGTTTTATTTGTTGAAGGTACTTTTAAATGATTTGTGTCCGTGTTGAACTGTGTGACGAATTGACAATGAAAATATCAAAATGCAAGTTTCTTCATTAGCAAGTACATATGTTGATCTATCTCGAAGCCGTGAAGATTGTTCGCATCGCCTTGTAACCTCATCAGCAGACCTCCGAAAGACACGTAGGCTGATCTGAAAGTAAAATGAAAAACTAAGTCAGTTTCAGTTGTACATCGTTTACGTCGTTCTGTACAGTGCCTTGGGCACTTGAGATACCCTACGAGATACGATACATTCTGACGCGACCTAACACATTACGCTTTTGAACTAATATCACCTAAGATTAACCTTACATTCATACAGTTTTTCTATTCATGTTCCAAGAAACTTTCGAGGTCGTCAATTAATGCTTCTCCTGGTAGCAGCAGATTTGCGACCGTCATAATTGCAGTGCCGATAGCGGTCGTGTATATAGATTGACCACACAACCAGCTAACCACACTGCCAACATGCCGATTGCTATATACATATATATATATACATATATATATAGAAAATCCTTTCCTTTAAAATGATTAAGAAAGATGTATCTGTTGAACCGAAAAGTCCATCAAAATACTCCCAGCTCTTCAAGCTCGACTGTTGATTTTCATCTTCGTGTCATTTTCCCGTTCCATCTTCATTATGATGTATATACACATCGAAAATTAATGCTTCGCAGAATTATTTTTAAACATTAGTACAGTATAATAATTATTTGAAGTTGCGTTTTAATAAAAAACTTGCAAGTATATGCAAAACAATAATAACACATTGACTCCAATACATCACAAGTGATAAAATTCTTGTTTCAACGTATCAATGATATTCTTGTGTATCAACATATTAAATATATCTGATTTGATTGTCAATCATATTGATAACGCTTATAAAATAAAAAGAGTTTAATAACTTTAGTTAAAGAGAGAGGGGGGAAGGGGGGGGTGAGAGAGAGCGAGCGCTTGTTTTTTTACTTCATCTATTTTCATTCATCTTATCTGTGTTATCGATCATATTTGATAGGTTCGTAGATACAAAAAGAAGTAAAATCGCTCAACGAGCTGTCAAATTGCTAATTGGAGCAAAATTTCTTTTTAACTACTTCAAAGTAAATATTTAAGCGAAAATATTATCTGAAAAAGAAGTAGATGTGCTTCGGATATAGGTAGAAACATAGAATTTTTGGAAAATCACTTTAAAAACATATTTGCGTACTTGTACACAATTTTAAAATTCGATGAAAATGAAAAATGGAAATTAAATATCGACAATTTTTTATTTTTGTAATTTTGAGTAGACATTTTAATAGACGATTTATATATTGCTGCGGCATATGTAACGAATTTAACTAAGTTACCTAGGTAGATTAGAAGTGCACGGTACTTTTTGAAGTTTTTTTTACATTTAGATTAAGACGAAAAGAAGAGGAAGAGGGAGGTAAAGCCAGACTGTAAACGTAAATTTAAACTTGGCTAAAAATCATTGACTCTTGTAAGAGCGGAGTATTTCTTAGACAGAGGCAGAGATTCGACAAAGGCAAGGTCAATCGATAGGAAAATCTCGTGCGCCGCGAGTATTCTCTTTTTGGTATTCGCGCATTTTCCCTCTCGTCTCTCACACAAGCCACGTGAAATTTGGATTTTATATATGTGTTCAGAAATGCCTAGCCATCTGAACTTGCAGGGATAACGGCTCATATATATATATATAGATAGATAGATAGATAGATAGATACATATGTATATTCAAAATACATGTATGTATATGTGCCCCTGTAAATTCAGATGGCTAGGCATTTCTGACGCCGTGATACATTAGCATCACGAGTTACGCAAAATGCATTTTATAAGCGTTATCAATATGATTTGACAATCAAATCAAATATATTTAATATGTTGACACACAAGATTCTATCACTTCTATGATATATTGGAGTCAATGTGTTATTTTCTTGCACATACTTTCAAGTTATAAAATGTTTGTATATCAAATATATATATGACTTTGTAACTAAATTAATTTTGAACTAATATCTGTCTAAGAATAGATAGATTCTTACGTATTAATTAATACTAATATTTATGAAAATAAAAACAATTCAATATATTAATAAATAATTCTGATACTGAGAAAATGTTTCTTTTTATGTCATCTGGATAATACAGGAAAGAGAACTTGTTCAAAACTATATAATTTATTTTTCTATCTATACTAAAACACTAAATTAATCGCTAATAAAGGCGCTGGTGAAATTAAATGAAGAACGCATCAGATGATTTTTATTGCCATTTGATACAACATATGATTCTATGTACTATGTATAAAGCAATGCGTGTGTATATTTATGTGTGCATATAAATAATTGCCACGTACATAAACGCAAAGCCTTGTTACATGAAACAAATATGCAACAAGCACTCCTCCATTAACAAATCCCCCGTCACGAACTGTCGAATGCCATTATACATTTATTTATAGAGAACTGTCATTGCCGATGACATCGCATTAAAAGGAAAAAGAAAAACATTTATTAATGCATTCGTCAAATTCCTTTTCGCCACAAGATATCATATCTCGGAATAAAAAAGAAAAAATAGGATGAAAAGCGGCAATAACAGTTATTTTTTAGCAGAATGTATTTATTGCAGCACATACACATATTGTGCGGTTTCGAACAGAATTTCCTGTAGAATGCTCCTCTATACAGAATCGATTATACCGAACGATTTCACACTGTAGAAATTGATATTACACATTCATCAATTGTCCCAAGTTTTTTACGTAACAAACACGTCAACAATATTATCTATTATTATCTATCGTCAATTATTGTAGGAACATTAAACAAATTTGAGATTCTGAAAATAAAAATTACCGATGCGCTAGCGCAACTTAATACTTTAGAAATACATGAAGATTAATTGAATTAATATTTATCTTTAAAAAAACACTTGTGAATAATGTTCTTAACATTACGACGCATATTTCGCTGTGTACATTGTAATTGTAATAATTATATACTTCAAATAGAGAAAAATAAACTTAGAGCGAAACTTTAGAGCGAAAAAGAATAGTGTGGATGTACTACTTTTCTATGATCTACTTTACAGAGTTACAGAAAGTGTAAAATAATTCGTATACGAGTTCTATCATAAGGTTGTCTATTATTCTCATTAAAAGAATATTTAAACCAGAGATGAATAATTGAATTGTAAAAAATTAAAAATCGCTAATATTTGTTTACATTTTTTATTAAAATGAAAAATTCTTGATTAAATTTCATTATAAAATATTAACGCAACGCGAATCTAAAATTGCTAAAAAAAATTCAGGGATCTTTTCTCTGATTTAAATTTTCTCTCGAATTCAGGAGATTGTTAGATACTAATAAAAAGTCCTGAAGATTCTGTGTAAAAAAAAAACGAAATTTTAACGAAAACGTTATATTATATAATGTACATCGAGGTATGCACGATATATAATCATCCCTTTGTAAGTTTTGGAATGATCTGAAAGAGACGACACGTAAACTTCCTAATGTCATTCTCTCGCTCGCGACGATTGATACCAGTCTGGTATCGATGTCGATTTTTAATACACATTTATCTCTTGTAGCGCTAAAAAGATGACGTCCTGTCACACAATAGCTGATGGCGGCGACAGAAGAGATGTCGTACCAGATAGTGCATTTACAGTATTCAGGGCCCGTGTAAACGCGCATCTGGCACGAGCCCCAACTGCCCTGTAATCTCGTATTGGCTCGCTTCCGCTCCGCTCGCTCTCATGCTCTTTTTACTCGTTATAATCTTCGCACAGTCTATCTCCCTTTTCCAATTTACCCTTTCTCGTATATCAAGTTGCAATAAAATTGCAATCTCTTTTCTGATATTAATAGTGAAATACTGTCTCAAATAAATAGCAATACTAAATCTGTCGTTAGTCGCTCGCGCGCGCACACGCACACGCATGCGTGTGTGTACGTGTGTTGGTGTAAAAAAAATGTAAACACTTATGTAATAACGTTCCAGTCACGCGATTATCTCTGACGTGTAATTAGTTCTTTATTCCACGACATAATTTTAAAAAAAAAAGCTTGAAAGCAATGAAAATTGCGACTCTGTTATGCTCGATAAATTTAAGTAGAACCAAAAATTCTTAACGAATTTCTTCAAGACGCAACAATAAAAACAACGACAATGAGTTAAAGAGTTTTTCTCGGGCGCGCCGTGTCGTTCAGAAGGATGTCAGCTGATGCTATTTTCCTCTCGAAACGCGAAACGAGAAGAGGACGACGCTGCTAATAATAGCAGCCACACTGTCCCCGGTGCCACGACGCACCGGCGCGCGGCGCGGCGTCGAGACGCGTCTCCTCGTCGTCGTGCTAACGTGATCCGTTAATGCACACTGACGGAGTCGGTACATCTTCTCTCGATGCTTTTAGACAGTTAATCCTTTCATAGACGCCGCCGGTGCGTTCCAAGGACATTTACGAGTCACCGATGTCACGATAACTTTCAAATTAGAGAGGAACAATCTCGTTAGTTTCGAATTTATTGTTAATTCACGCTCCCGAAATGATCCGTTAAGATTAATCAAAGATCAATAAAAAAAAATATTTTCTTGCTATATTTCGAAAAAGTTAAGAGCTGGTTAATATAAATAATCACTGCACCGCATGTAAAATTATAACATATAATCATACATTATAAACATTAATGTATTCTGAGATCCAGTCGCAATTTTAATTATCCTTCTTGCATATCGTCACAAAATATAATTCACCGACATAAATTATTGAACGTATGGTTTTTATTTTTTTGATCGTGTAAACACTGTAAACTCTTAAACAATTTACGAATTCGTGATTTCAGATTGCATCGTTTCTCTGCTGGGACTGATTTAGTATCGGAAAGGGGAGGTAGGTACCACGCGATAAACAAGACGATTATCTGTCGTCGATTATTTTCCAATCACATGCGCTCTCACGATAATATGAGATCACGTATAATTGTGAGACTATTATCCTATTCACGTATAATAAATGTACATTTGTTTTCGGTACCAATCTCGATTCGACCCGAATGATCCTATTGTCTTTTTGCACGATTCATCCCGGAATCTATATATCAGGCGTTACGATCGGTATCGCGAAA